TGGCATTTTCAAATAATTAATCTAAAGTAGGTATTTTCATTAATTTCACTATTTACGTTTTGTTTAGTATCTACCTTCAAATATATATATATATATATATATATATATATATATATATAGAGAAGGGATCATATGAGAATGGTAGATAGTGAAAGAAATAAGAATGATTGTGAACCATTAGATCCAACATATTAATGGTCATGATTTAATTAAATATTAAAATTTAATAGTCAAACATGAATGGCAGGTTTGTGAAAATACGTGACAATTCGTGGTCAAAGATAGACATTGGACCATAAAGTAAGGATAAAATAGACATCTTGTTACCAAACCCACCACGTGGGGTCCACCTCCAACAACATAAAATCCTACATCCTCCTACCATCGTCCCAACTACTTTCATCAATATATTTTTTACACACACACACCATAATTTCAGAAACTGCATCCGCCAGCACTGGTTTCGTCGGAGTCAAACCGCCGCCTCCATCAGCCCGGTGTATCCCATCATCGCCGCCGCCATATCCGACACTGAAGTACAGTACTCCATCATCGACGTCCAATCGAGCGCTAAACTCAGCCACCGGTCTCAACTTCGCACATGCTAACCTCAGCCACCTGGCAATCGAGCTTCACGGCGGCGTTCATGGCGAGAACCGCCATGTCGTCGGTGGAAGTTTCGAGTCTAAAAGCTTCGCCGGGAGAAGAGCTTGTTTCGAGCCGTCCCGAGCTCTTCGACGGCAATGACGAAAGATGTGAACTCGTCGGAATTCAATATGTCATGCGGGGATGGCGGCGGCGGTGGCCGGAAGAGACAATCTGAAACGGGACTGAGGTGCTGAATTGATGGTTTATGTAATCGAGGTAGCCGATGATGGAGACTTGCAGTGGACTTGACGGTGGTCAGCGGCGGTTCGGTGGCCGCAGGACGAGTCTCCGGCGGCAGTGGGAAGTTCTGTTTTTTTGATTTACCTGTAGTGAAGGAAGGATTTTTTTTTTTTGTGAATTTGATAAATGAGAGGTGTTAAACTGCAAGTTTAATTAATTTAATATATCGTAAATTTGTAATTAATTAAACTAAAATTAATATTTAATATTTTCATTTAATATCTAATAATTTTTAATATGTTTGGCTGATATATGGAAACGAAATATACAGTGCAATAGATCAGTTATTGTGGTGCAATTCGTACAACACTATGGTGCATTGTGCCGGTTTTTATTGTGAATTGAAACTGAACATAATTAATTGGCCTATTTGGTTAAGTTAATTAAACTATCATTTATATTAAAATTATATTTAATATTTTATTAATTTTTTTATTAATTGTATATTATTTTTTGGTTGAAAAAAAAAAATTGAGTTTGGTCGGTTTTGTTCTATAATGCGTCACCATTAGTTTGTGATAAAGTGCAGTGTGTTATTTTATAAAGTGCAACGAGTTGGTTTATATAGTGCTACATACTGATGTATAAAGTGCAATACTAAAATTTAATATGTTATTAAATTTATTTATTAATTTTATATTATTTTTGGTAGAAAAAAAATTGAGTTTGGCCGGTTTTGTTCTATACTACGTGACCATTAATTTGTGATAAAGTGCAACGAGTTGTTTTATATAGTGCAACATGCTGATGCATAAAGTGCAATACTATAATTTTGTTACGTTAGCATACTTTTTTTAATGTATAGACGAAATGATAGATGTTAAAATATTATGTATCTTTATTTTTAGATTTATATTGTGTGGTATATATATTGTCGTTTAATGTTGAATATTGCAATAAAGTATAGGTCGTTGTTTTATAAAGTGCAATATGTTATTTTATAAAGTGCAACATGATTTATTATAAAGTGCGATATGATTTAATATAAATTGCACTATATTATATGATCCCATATAAATTATGGCTATTAAAAAACTAGTATTTGTAGATGAATTGTACATCTAATTAACCAACTAGTTGAAATATGATATTATCTATTTATTTATTCAATAATTTATTTATTATTTTATTTTATTATTACATTATTTTAATAACTTATATTATTTTATTATATGAAATTATTTTTTTACTATTTTATTTATTATGCAATATATATGTATAAAAATAAATATAAAAAAAAATATTTTTATTAATTTTCAATAATTACATATTTGGCTTGTGAGTTAAATTGGAATATAATTAAAATTTGTAAAATCGCATTTAGGTCCTTGAACCTTTTCTAATTTAAAAAAAAAAAATGCCCAATTGCATTTAGGTTTTAGGGATCCGGAAATGGTTAGTCTCTTCCAGACGCGGTTCTCCGGCCAATTGGACGCATCCGTAGAGAGTATCGATGACCATCTGCACCAATTGCATCAAGAGCATCTTGTTCGGGTTGGTGGAAGGTATAATTGGTTGCGAATGGAATTCGCCGGAGTTAGGCGGCGGCGACAATTGGGTGTCTCTGTGTCTGCTGTGTCGAGTTTGGCCGCGAATGGAAGCTTTCCAGAGACGAATTGAGATGGACGACGAAGAAACTGAGACGATGAATAAATCGACCGGAAATTGTAGAGGAGGTGCGGCGGAGACAGTGGCACGGCGGCGGCTGAGGCGTGACAGAGATGGAATCATGACGGCAGTGACGGCAACGACGACAGCGTGAGGACGGAGGCCGAGAAGAAGATATGCCGGTGCCGGCGAGAATGTCACGGCGGCGCCGCCTCATTTTCTGTGTGTATGTGTGTGTCGGTGGTGTGGGTGTGTGTAATTGTGAGAGAGAGAGAGAGAGTGACGGGGAGAGATAATTGTGTAAGAGAGAGAGAGGTGTGGTTGGGGTGGGTAGTTGGGGTAGGTGGCAGGATTACTTAATTTGGTGTGGGGTCCATTTGTTTGAATGTAGTATAGAAAATTACTTCAATACCCTTAATGAAGGTATAATTTTGGCTTTATTTTAGCCATTAGATCAT